TATATACATATATATTCTATATGCAACAAATAGAAGTACGTGGCTTTCGATGTTGTTAGCAAGCGCTTGCCGTCTGTATTGTAAGAAATGGCCTACGTCGTAGCACACTATTACTATATTCTTTCTATAGTACTACCTACTCGACCTGCATGCATATTATCAACCCATCCGTACAACTGAAGCATCTTGGTATTCATCAATATAGAGCATACATCAACATTGGATGTAACTCTATAGCGCAACCATTAGCCATCAACTGCTCGCAGATGACACCGTCGGCCGGATTCCGATACCTGAATGATACGAAGGTCTCTCACAGTACACAAGTAGACTCACCGAGACACCGGCTCTGAAACTCATCTGCACATATCAATGCTACATCTCGCTAACATACCATACACCCAGGTGAAACAACTGGCCAGGCAAGTGCTTTTGGGAGTAGACTACCTACACACCGAGTGTAAGATCATCCACACAGACATCAAACCAGAGAACATCCTACTGAGCGCAGACCCCGCATGGATCCAACGGATAGCGCAAGAAGCCCTTGACAAACTCTCCGCTAACCAGTCAGAGGTATGTGCGTTGGTTGTACTGGGCTGTGTTTGGTGCTGCTGGGTGTGGCGGGGGTGTGTGTAGGTACGTTTTCGTAAATACGTAGGTATGCAGACGAGTAGTATTGATGGGCGTAGAACGTGTTGTACTGAGCGCAGCCGCCACTTGCATTCATCGGAAAGGGATAGGTATATATATATATAATATAAATATATATATATTATATTTTATATATATATATATATATATTATAGTATACTTCCAACCCTAACATGTGTTTCTCCATCATTCTAATACTAGGCTGGTAAGGAAAAGGGGGGCGCTGACCAAGAACCAGAAGAAAAAGCAGAGGCAGAAGGAAGCCAAGAAGAAACTCAAAGCGCAAGAATTGGACCATAAACCTTCGACCGAATCCAGGAAGGACAGTGGACTGGAGGAAGGGGAGATACCAGACACACAGACAACCACACACACACACCCGAGCCAAGACAACATACCAGACGGGGTAGATAGGGATACAAACGGGACGGCCACAGACACACACGCGCATAACCACCCCCCAGAGAGCATAGGGGAAGAGGGCGTGTTTGTCACGAAGACCTCGCTACCGGATAGTAATACACAGACCAACACAGACACGCGTGCATCTGCAGACAGTACAAACCATCTCAAGACACCACCCTTCTCTCCCGCCACGGGCAAACGGTTACCCAACGCATGTGCGCCAATGCCCCCACCAACCATTGTCAAGTTGGCTGACCTGGGCAACGCCTGCTGGTATATTTATATGTAAATGTATATGTATATGTATATTATCTATTTATTTATTTATTTATTTATTATATATATACTATTTATTTATGTATTTATTTATTTATTTATTTATTTATATATATGTATATAGCTATATGTATATCTATATGTATATATCTATACCTATATCTATATCTTATCATATTTATAACTATTTTATATATAGTATGTATGTATATATATATATATATATGCACATATATATAGACCGTTACATTTGTATTTCTACCGATATATATATATATAAACTGATACATTTTCATTTTTACCTTATATTTATAATACGTCCTTGTATTATATACATAAATCAGCACAAATTTGCATACTATATCCATACTCTTGACAATTGACACCATTTTCATTCGTATCTCCTTATTCAGCTGTTCGAGTTAGCGACCGGCGACTTCTTATTCCATCCCAAAGCCTCGAAACAATACGGACGCGATGAAGGTAAGATCGTTTGATCGGTAGACTAAAACACATACATACATATATATATATGTATATATATGTATATATATATATATATATATACATATATATATATATATATATATATATATATATGTACACGTATATATATATTGCTTGTATATACATATCTGTATCTAAATATTATTCTTATTATTCTTATTATTATTATTATTGTTATAATTATAATTATATACATACACTTGTGCGGGGTGGGAAGGGTGTTTCTACTATATCTCTAGGCCGCTTAAGGCTAACTACGTCCCGCTATTACATCCCGCTTTCAGATCATCTCGCGTTGATTATCGAATTGTCTGGGCCCATCCCGCTGCGAATGGCGCGTTTGGGATCGAGGTTTAAAGAATTCTTCACACAAGATGGCAAACTCAGGCACATCCACAAACTCAACGGCTGGGCCTTGAGAGATATTCTGTTCGAAAAGTACCATTTCAAGCGAGCGGCGGTATGTCTGTAGTATATTTGTGTGGACGTAATTGTCTGTATGTGTTTATTCTGTGTGCGCGTTTATAAGTAAGCTTGTGGTCGTTGGTATGGATAGTTGTTTAGGTCGATGTATATGTATGTATATATTTATATATATATATATATATATGTATATGTATGTATGTATGTATGTATATATATAAGCATATAAATATATATATATCTCAACTCATCTCACGAGATCATTCCTACTACCATCTCAGGCGGACGAGTTCGCAGCCTTCCTCGAGATCATGCTGGATGTCAACAACAGCACCCGGGCTACTGCACGCGAGTGCCTTGAGCACCCGTGGCTCAGGAGTGAGACCGAAATGGACCTAAACAACAGAGACGAGAAGGTCAACATACGCCGTCAGCCGTCGATCACCGCGATCTCTGTGGCCGTAGCGGACATTGAACGGTCCTCATTTCTGAGCTACAGCAACCTGAGCTTAAATATGGGGTCGCCCACTCAGACCCAGCAGCAGGCCACGGCGCAGAAACAACAACAACACCAGACCCAAAAACAAGGGCCGGTGCAGGGAGATGCGAAGCATAACGGGTCACATAAGGTTGGTGGTGGGCTGAATAGCGCTCAGGCTGAGGTGAACGAGCCCAATTCGAGTCAGAAATCGGATACGAAATCGGATATTTTGGACGGATTGATGAAGATAGTTCTGGAGTAGGTGCCATTTAGTTGTCAGGCGCCGTATATTCTGTTTTGGTATATATAGAGGTGGATATATATAAATAAATGGGATCGACTGAAGAGCAGAGACCAGGCTAATCAACGTTACTTGATTCAAGTAGGTGTGGTGATATATATATATATATATATATATATATATATATATATATATATATATATACATATATATATATCTATATCTATAAGTATATGTATATATATCTATATATATATATTTATATATATGCCTCTCATTTTTCGGTGAGGATTATAAATCGATAGACTGCGGGGGGATCGACTTTGGCTCTGGTGTGATTTGGTGCAGACTGCTCAAGCATGTCCAATGCACTGCAGCAGAAATCGTTGATTTCAGCTAAAATGTCTTATAGCCACACGGCTTGATTTACTTATTTTTTAAATATTCAGTTTGAACAAAGTGTGAAATGGAGCATATCAGATTCTCGTCAATTCAGCGGTTCGAGACAACTGCAGTAAACATCTGTGGGTGCATATAAAACAAGATTTTCCTTCTAATACTCGTTGTAGTATTAGGATGATACAGCTATGTTACGAATAGAAAGAAATATTTCCTTTTAATAGCTACTTTTGAAATGGGGTTCAGTTAAAGAGAATAGTCATATCAGAGATCGAGGCGAGTGGAATTACTATGGAGATCTAATTCGAATCATGACCAGCCTTTGATCCCAGTAAGTACATAGTAGATAAAAGCTATCATGATCCCGTACCATGGAAGGTTTTGGCAAGCTTCTTGCGATATTTAATGTAATTGGGCAAATGAGGCTTGTATGAATATACGTTCGTTGAGTCATATACTGAATATTTTGATATTTCATACAGCTCTGCTAGTAGTTAAGGTGACGTATTTGTGGTCTCATTACGTGCGTATATTATGTAAACAATACAATTTACACTCTTTTGCAGAGACCCACAAAGAACTTGTGTACATGCATATAGTGAATACACGTACATGTGATCTACATGATCATGCAAACATATTTACAGTCATCCAAATCGAAGAACGAAAACAAACCTAAAAGACCCTAAAATGATAAATACAGCACTAAACCCTAAACCTTACATTCCCCGCTCCTTGGAAAAATACAAAAAGCGTAGCAGCAGCATTTATAAAAAATGATGGACTCCTAAAGTATATAAGCAGAAGGCGACACAGCGACTACATCACTATATGCACTCAGTGGGAACAGCTCGAGTGTATTCCACATCTACGAACTCTTCATCTTTCTTCTCGCACATAGTGACTTGCTAGTGAGCTACGTTGTGTTATTTAATAGACGCTGGATGGATATATTGCCGTATATAGCTGCTTCTGAAAGGTACGTATATATTTATATATACATTTTCAGACTTCGGATTTGGAACCAGAAGCTGTAACCTGGCTGTATATGGCTTGAGTGTGTCTCGTCAAAGCGTATTCCTTTCTGTGTTATATTATTATTTAGATGGACGGCTACTTTACCTCGGACACTACGGTGCCCAAAGTCGCAATATGTATCTACATTACGCTCAAAAATAGCCTAAATGACTAAACGAGATCATGATTTATCTCGCTGCTTCAGCACGGAATCGTTTCGCGATGACTACATACAGAATATATCAGAAGATTTATCAAGACTGCTCGCGCTGCCATGGAAACTCTTTTGGGATGTGGTAGGTCAAATTGGGATTCTTGAAGTACAGATGTCTCAGGCTATGGCTTCATAATCCATCTATATAATATATATATATATATATATATATATATATATATATATATATATATATATACAAATACATATACATATACATATATATATTTATATATATATATATATATACATATACATCTATATATGTATATATATATATATATATATATATATATATATATATATATATATATATATATATATATATATATATATATATATATATATATATATACATATATATATATATATATATA